CCATTTATGACATAGGATGTTGTCAATTTATTCTTGCAATGGCAGCAGAACACGCGCACATATGATCTCTCTTTCTCCCCCCCTCTCTGCCTGCCTGCCTGTCTGTCTGTCTGTCTGTCTGTCTCTCTCTCTCTTTCTCTTTCTCTTTCTCTTTCTCTTTCTCTTTCTCTCTCTCTCTCTCTCTCTCTCTCTCTCTCTCTCTCTCTCTCTCTCTCTCTCTCTCTCTCTCTCTCTCTCTCTCTCTCTCTCTCTCTCTCTCTCCTCTCTCTCTCTCTCTCTCTCTCTCTCTCTCTCTCTCTCTCTCTCTCTCTCTCTCTCTCTCTCTCTCTCTCTCTCTCTCTCTCTCTCTCTCTCTCTCTGTTATGCGTGTGTGTGTGTGTCGTGTGTGTGTGTGTGTGTGTGTGTGTGTGTGTGTGGTGTGTGTGTGTGTGTGTGCGTGTGTGTATGTGTGTGTGTATGAAGTAGGTGGGCGAACATGCGTGTGTACCAAAAAAAATGTGTGCATACGTGTTTTACGATACTTCCCGTCCCCCTCGCTGCCCCAACCGCTAACGACCCCGCCCTCCTTAGCCAGGGTGGAATCGAAGCTCGGCGCCGCCCACATCATCACCCTGGTCTTCCTGCTCTTCAGCCTGCGGTTGGGGGGTCTGGCCACCGCGGGGTTCCTGGGCCAGCTGTGGGGAACTGTGGCCATGGAGGTGATCAATGGCCCTTGCTTTGGCCTGGGTTACGCGGCCATCATCGTCCAGGCAGGAGCCATCACGCCCCCGGGAACTTCGGCGACGGTTCAGAGCCTCGTGGGGATCTGCTACGGGACGTTAGGTTAGTCTCTCTGCTTTGGTTTCTTCGCGCCGATGTAGGCCTATTTAATATTTTGGGGGTTTCTGTCTGCTTTGGTTTTCGTTGCCGCTGTTGTAGGCCTATTTTCTTTTTTGTTTTTCTTTTTTTGGTTTCTGTTGAAGATTTAGCCTTATTGATATCCTGTTTCGTAATGTTTTACCTGTTTTTTTTATAATCAGAGGTTTATATATATTATTCTTCGTCTATATATTTATAAATCATTTTTCCTTCAATGTGTATTTTTACCTGTATTTTAACTTCTTTATCATCATTGTTTTACTAGTTCTTTTAAGCTTGTTCACTCAATAACACTGTTCTTGGTACCACCATTGTTTTCCTAGTTGTTTTAAGCTCGTTCGTTCAATAACACTGTTCTTGGTACACAAAAACGGAGAAAAATTTTTTCCTCCACATCGCCAACACAGGGTACGCTGGTGCTAGCTTCGTGGGCGGCGTGCTGTACGATGCAGTGGGCGGCCCCATGCTGTACCTGTGCATGGGCGCGGCTGCTGCGCTCACCTGCCTTCTGCACTTCGTTTACAATAAGTATTTACCTCAGACAATAGGTAAGAATCGTGAGTTATTTTGTTGGCATATACACGTGCATTTTATACATGTGTACCCATGGCGCATATACACGCACACACACATACATACACGCACGCACATATATATGTATGTATATATATATATATATATATATATATATATATATATATATGTGTATATATATATATATATATACATACACGCACACAACATACATATACATACATATACATGTATATATATATATATATTATATATATATATATATATATATATATATATATATTATATATATATATATGTAATATAATATATATATATATATATTATATATATATATATATATATATATATATATATATATATATATATATATATATAAACACACATGCTCACACATAAAGCTGTGTGATTTACGCTATATATTTTGGAAACATGGAGTGCAAAATGATGCGTAAGTAGGTTGTCTTTGAGGAGGAGAGGAAATATATGGTGGAAAAAAATCTCAAGATCTCTCGCAGAGGGAGAACTTGCAACATTTTCTCTGGCTAAATTGTTCCTCTGTATCTGTAAGTCATTGGTAAATTGTTCAATAGGAAATATCTAAACAGTTATATATCTTATAGTTAACTTCATATCTGTAAATCTTTATATCTACTGTCGAAGTCATCTATTCTATTCTCAGACAAGAAAACCGAGGAGTTAGCACTCGAAACAATTTTAGAAAAAGGAATCCCATATCGAGTAGAAGGAGAACATCTTAAAAAGCGAGAAAAAGGAGACGAGGAGAGAAGAGCAAGTGAAGAAGGAAAGAGAGAGGAAGAGGCCGCCATGTTAAGAAAGGAAGAAGACATAGACCTTGATAATATAGAATTTCACGACGAAAAGCAACATTCTGTGTCGGTGGAAGATGAGACGTGAATATTAGAGGAAGAAATAGGTATTATGAGTGTTTTAAATGTACGGGTGTTGTGAATTGACTTAGATAAAAAAAATATATATGAAGGCTTGTTGGGGAACGATTGAAGATTAGACAGTTTTGTTGATTCTTTCTGGTTATTCTTTGCAGCAAAACTGTTACGATGATCGCTGTTGTTTGAAAAGCAAAAAATACTGTGGGCTGTATAACAAAGTTTCTATATCAGTGAATAGAAAATCCTTTTGAAAAGTGAATCACATGATAAGAAAGATGGAACATGGTCAATAAGAAATATACTCGTATCTGACTGATACCAGATGATGTATAAAGTTGCCAAAGAAAAACAAATTCTTATCGAAGGACAACATACCTTCAAAAGAATTATTGCAACGTAATTTTGATATGTATTATGACTATTTTTTAATGTATTTACAGCACTGATTCTCAACCGTCGGCTGTATATAATTACCTTGTTTACTCAAAATAAACGAAAATATGTGGTACAGAAGCACATAATAGAGAAAACGCATAAATTCCATTGATTTTGCGAACAATAATCTTTACAGCTAAATATATACCGACTGCTACCAGAAACATTTTTGATAACTAGCGCAAATATGCACAAATTACCTTGCATCTATCACTGTTAAGAATCATTAGTTCACTGTATCACACACACACACACACACACACACACACACACACACACACACACACACACACACACACACACACACACACACACACACACACACACACACACACACACACACACACACACACACACACACACACATATGTATATTTATGTATGCATGTATGTATATATATATATATATATATATATATATATATATATATATATATATATATATATATACATATACACAGATATATATATATATATATATATTATATATATATATATATATATATATATATATATTATATATATATATATATATATACATATATATATATATATATACATATATTATGTATATATATGTATGTATAATAGGAATTGGAAAGATAAGAATACTGTGTAGGGAAAGGTTACTGAATCATGGTATCAGGTCCTGTACCTTATATTTTTTATTCATAGGAAATGGAAAATACTTTTTATTAGATCTTTCTAAAAAGTGGATACCTAAAATTATGTGAAAAGATAAATTACACTTTTTATTATCTGTAATTTCAATGCTTTTTATAATATGTAATTTCAGCAGTATTTCTCAAGAGTTGTGTTTTAGGATAAAGAACTCTCATTGAGTGTTTTAAATAGATAAGAAAAAAAGGGCAATGATAATATATCTTGTGAATATTTTCTACTGATGTAATTTTTATTACCGTTTTCATTTTATTATTTTTAGGAACCAGAATATTTTTATATATTAAACATCACTAATAAATCTTAATTGTAGCTGAGAAATTCTTATTTACTATTACTTTTGTGCTATTTTTTCTAATGGACTGACTAATAATATACCATTCTTTATAATTGCATTCACCATTCCATATATGTGTCAAAGATGAGCAAATTTAGAATTAGAATGTCTAATTATAGTTTTTCTAATCTTCCAAATCTTCTTTGTTATGTTAATAAAATATATGAACAGGTATTTATTATGATTACCCAATAAAAATGACTCCCACAATACAGGTATAAAACAGACAGACATCGAAAAAGGGGTTCCATCGAGGTATGAATAAAACTCTCTCTCAATAGGAAACTTTATTGTGAATATCACAATCTGAGGTGAATTTCAAGGGACAGACAGTGGGACGGTCAGCCCTTGCCTCCCAGGGGATGTACATGCTGCCACATAGTGTCTACGCTAAGAGGTCATCTTGGTCGCACCACACAATATACTTTTCCGATTTATTGCAGTGAGCCGATGACTAGACATTTGTACACCTATAATGACATTCTCACATTTTTTTTTCTGTGAATCAGTGACTTGGATGTGCATGATATTTACTTCTATACAGTTTCTTTGTGCTTATTATTCCGTAACTGAAGAGCAGGTCCATTCATAGAAGATAAAAGTATGTATGTCTATCAATTTAATAACAAATGAAAAGCAAACTTTTAGAAATACTAAAAAATTGCCATCTGAATCTTATATAAAAAGTGCATGAACATTTTATTGTTAAAGAGAATGTGACCACATACAAGAACATCACCAGGATAAAAGAAGCTTAGAGAACAACATATGAGTTAATCACCACTGTTGTTGTGAATGAGGTATGATTACGTACATTTTCAATATAGATGAGACTGAATATCAACAAGTTTTGTAGATAAATTGTACATTTCCAGCCTCTGGTTTTCTTGTCAATTATTTATTTCAGGTAGAAATTTCTCATCTTAAAAAGTTACAATTGAATTGTAAAGTGTTTGAAGATTAATACTGTAAATTCCTTTGTACTTACAGTGATACATCCCAGTGGAAAATTCAAATACCTGTCAAAATCCCAAACTCTTATTTAACGAGCACTGGGCACAACAAAATCTTAGATGTCTAATTACACCAAAGGCAGTACTATGAAAAGCTATTACTTACTAATAAAGCATAAAGGATATTTTTTATCATTTTTTTTAAGAAGAAACAAGCAGCACTGATACAACCCTCTCTGGCCTTAAGCGCAACCAGACCTTCTTTCCTTTTCGTGTATTTTCTTCTTTTTAAATTTCAGTCTCTCTGTTTCCAGCTCCATACATAACTGTTACTAGTTCTGCTATTATTACTTTTTTCTTTGAAAAAATTGTCTTCTTATTGATACCATCAAGAGAAATTAGACAAAAAGGTCAGCAACTTGGATGTAAACTATCATGAAAATTATTTTCCACTTCAGCATTGCTATCAAAATAAAGAAAAAAATTAACCCCTTCCACTTTTTAGATGACTGAATAATAAACATCCTATTTTACATCATTGCTGCATGACCACGACCAAATGCATAACTATGAAAAAAGTGAACTATGAGCATGATATATTATGATACACTGACTTAATTATACATCAATTATCACACTGAATAAACCCTGACATCACTTATAAAAGAATCAATATTTTCTTCAACAATTGTTATGATTATAATGTTGAAAAAATTATCAAATGGGCATCATAGGTCACATATTACTAAACCACTTTATGATTTACTAAAAGCATTGGAATTCCAATATTTGGCTCTAATTATGATGCAGATTACATTTGGTTAATCAAATTCCTGTTCTATTTACTATATACAAACTTCATAATATCAAAGAGGTTTAATTGTATGTAGCATTTTACCTACCCATTACATGTACATAAATGAATCACTCAATAACAATTTGTATGATACAGTATATCAATTATAATTACTTACATTGGTCATCTCTATCCACAGTCATTCAGATTCATCATTTAAGCTCTTGGATTCTCCTCTCTGAAAGTCATTTTCCAACATCTGGTAGAAAGTCAAGTCTAATGAGAGTGGCATGTAGCTATGTGCTGCACAAGCAAATGTGAAGTGGAGAGCCAACAGCAGTGTGTACTATATCGTGTAGTGTTCTCAGTATCCTTCATTTACTCTGTTAACAGAATATCTTAGCAGATTTTTAAAAATTCAAGTATGTGACAGTTCCTTCCGAGATTTGGTAAATTATTCAGGACTGAGAAGTGAGAATTAATGGCCAAATCAACATGTTGCAGTAAGCATGTTATCGTGTCTAATATAGTGTCATAGTAATCAAATATATAGACTTTTCTCTTCTTTATTGTTTCTTCTATAATTTGTTTTTATTTCTATATTATTTCTATTAGGTTCATATATTTGGTACAACTTATTCAACATCCCAAGCGTGTGACAATGCTTAAATGTCATTTTAATCCAAACTGTAATTAAACAATTTGCAATGTACTTTACAGAATACTGCCAGATTTACTGTATCACTCAAAGAGAGCTTGGCACTATTTTTAACTGGTGAAAAGTTATATTCCCAGAGTTATTTGTATATTGAGCTTTTCATGTAAAAGAGATGGCACTGGCTCCAAAGTCTGGTGTACTGAACCACAAGTTATGTATCACAGTACATCATTGCATTTCACTGATTACTGCAAATTGTTCATATCATGCCTTCGAGCATTAACAAATAAGACACACAAATTACCAATTTTGCAGTGTCAGCATTTCTCCAAGAATGCAAGTTTATTGATTAAAACACAAAAAAAGATATATCATCTTTGGTATTTCTAGCAATACATGGAAATGATTACATATAGTCTATGAAGATGATAAACTTTGAAATGACTATAAACCTCATTTGCACATGTACACCTTAAATTCTTCAGTCATACCCTTGCAGACTAATGTGATATTCACTTCTATTTATACAATATTATTCATTCCTTACATTTTCAGCCACACACACATACATGTACACATGTACTTCATATCAGTGTTCTTATCAGAATGTGAACACGAACAGGTTTTTTTTTTTTACTTACAAATTAAATTACCATTCATAAAAAAAGAAGAGAAAAAAAAATGACAATGCAAATACTATGAATATTATGACATTCCTGGTATCAAAACAACACCACAAATCCTGATAGATATGGTAGCCCATACCTTATACCAGGAACTATGGTTTAAAACCACAATGGTAAGCTGAGCAGTGTTTTGATGTGCTGTGTTCTCCAGTTTTGGCATACTGAGATCTCTCGAATTTTACAACACTTATGCCACACGTGGCCCCATTCTTTAGTTTATTAAACTAATACCAAATTTCATTCAAGGTCCAACATTAGTCTGTTCCTCCTGCTGTCACACAGTCAGTAAATACAATAAAGCATTTTTTTCTTAATGGAAAAATGAAGCAAGCTTTACCAGACAGAGAAAACTCTTCTTACTACAGATCTTTGCTATTACAAAGTTCCTAATATTGTAGATCATAACTCTAACAAAAAAAAAGAAAAAAAAAGGAACACAAACTGCGAAAACTAGAAAAAGAATAGTCATTGCAAAATTTTGTTTAAAAAGTGGATGTATTCACATGATGGTAAAACAGCTTTGTAAACCAACAGAAGGTAGATGCATATTTCATAGCTTTAACAACAATGCTTGCTCATCGAAAGTTCTACTTCTCATTCATTTTTAATCTCTTAACTTTTACAAAACGAGTGTTTCTATAGATTTACGTA